CCATCTGTTAATACCTCCTTGTTCCAGCTCCAGGGACTGCATTTCCCTCCCGAGCCAGGGAAATGCTTTGCCAAACAATAGCTGCTTGGGAGAGACGCCAAGGCAAAGTAGGGCAAGCAGAAGCTTTAAAAAAAGAAAGAAAGAAAAAGCCCCAAATTCAGCTCTGGGCAAGAGATGGAGACCCAGATGCGCCGCTGCCAGAGGCCCCTGGACGGCTGGTGGCCGCTGGAGGGGAGGGCCTGGCCCTCCTCGTTGCCCTCCCTGTCTTCTAGTCCCAGAATGGGTGGAGCTTATGGATACCAGGAGAGGGTGGCACCACGCAAGCCGCTGTTCCACGCGCTTTGGGAAGCCCTGGTTAACTCACTGGTTTCGGAATCAACAACCAAGTCTCAAAATCGGCCACAAGGCTTCATGTCTGCCACCAAGCCAGTCTGAACGCCCCGGACCTTCTCTGGCGCATCAGGGTCAGGCCCCCTGACTCATTTGATGGGAATGGTCATTATGTGCCTGTCACGTTGGTTCCAACTTTATGGACTGACCACCTCTGAAAGGTCTTGTCCTTAAGGACAAGAAAGTGGAGCCCAACAAAATGTTGCCGGGGGGGGGGGACACACCTGGATGGTGGGTGCTAACAGCAAGACTCCTGTTCCGTCCAGGGGTTAGATTTGATGAGCTTTGAGATGCTTTCCAACTCCACACATCTGTGATTTTATAAGTGTACTTCAGTGATCAGGAACTCCAGTTTTCATTTGGATAATTGAAAAGCAATGTGACACCAGGGAAGGAGTTTTGAAATATGTAGAGATGAATGAAAGGGAAAAAAAACCCAGCCTGGGTGGGATTCAAATTTGAGATAACGATTTGTTATCCGTGAAAATAGATTGTTGCCGAACACTCAACGAGATGCATGGATTAAAAATATAAAAATAAATTGATGCCCTGGATGTCAAAGTGGAAGTGTTAGAGGCCGATTTGCATAACGAGAAAGCGACAAATAACTAACGAAGCGCCAGAGACGGAAAATGGAAATAGAAGGGCGTCCATTTCAATGACTTAGAGAATGTTAAATCTGAGAGAAATGATGTAAGGGCACCACAATATGCCACTCATTTGGGCTGCTGGAGGAACGGGAAAATAAAGTGAGAATTTCAGCTGTGAATTTTCAGTAGCTCAAAGTAGCTTTAAAAGGAATGGAAAATTTCCAGTTCTTGAAGGAGAAATGAGGATGTTCCTCTCTTCCAAGAGATTTCTTCTCTAATCTGTGTTATTTGAAAATATATATATAGATCTAAGGAAGATGTACATTTCTGGGGCCAGACCAGGCAGCGTCAGTTCCACTTCTTGATTTTAGAGAGGGGCGAACAGTATAGGTTGATTAAGGTTGATTAAGTTTCTGTGATTTTTGTCCTTGTGTGGCCTTAATTACAGTTGAGATCCATTGTACGATTCTTTTTTAAAAAAATTTAAAAACCCCATTCTGATGAATTTCGAGATGATTATAGGAGATGCTTTCAATGGAATAATGGGGGGAAACATTTTTTTTAAAGAAAGGATAGCTGAGCAGCTTGATTAGAGATCACACCAAAGTTCAGAAGCAGGGGCACTTGTAAAGGTTTCCCCGTGAAGTTCAACTTTCTCCCAGGCTCATTTCCAACAGAGCTGAAATCCCATCAAAGTCCAATCCTAGCGGATAATGAGTTCACCTTTTCTGGTCACCCCTTTTCTCACCCATCCCGAAATACTCAACAGCGCTGACCCCGAAGGCTGCCTTGCAAGGTCTCCTTAGCTGCAGGGAGGCAAAAACAGCACCATCTTGGCTGCAGGGGGCGGGGGGGGGGAAGTGTCCTTTCTTAGGGGTCCTGAGGGTTTAGGTCACTGCAGAAGCTCCCTGCGTGCAAGAGGTCCAAGACCTGAGTTAGAAAAAGTTACTTCTGGTGGTTCTAGTACCAAAATAAATAAACGAATAATCTAGACTTGGTTTGGGACATGTAGTTTGAGCGGCATCTAGTATCCTTTCTAACTATTCCCACACCCTGATTCATTTAAATTTAGGGTTGAGGAAGCCAGTGTTTCTCGGCAGAGACCCTGGAACTGAATCTGTCCTTTGGCGCACTTTGTGGGGCCGGCTGATACCAATTTCTTTGACCACCTGTGCCTCTCCTCCTGCACAGGATCCCCTGCGTTTTGGCACCTCACACAGCTGCCTATGCAGGCAGGAGCCCATAGAAAGCGGCTCTAGGGGTTCCAGTCCATAAGCTTAGGGATCTTTTCGTCCTGCACAATCCGTAAACAGATTTCCTGACCAGATAAAGTGGTAGGTTTCCTTCCTTTTTTTAACCGAACACTCCTCTCCGGATGGATTCTTCCGATGCAGGAGTGAGAACCACCACACTCGGTCCCTGCATTCTGCCTATAAAATTATTTAATTAACTTTGACGGCCTTGTCTTCTCTCTTGGAACGAAGTGGTCCTCATCTCATTTTTACTGGAAACATTAATGGTATGGGGGGAAAATAGACCAACACACTTACTTGTTATGCTGCCTTGGAACGAAGTGGTCCTCATCTCATTTTAACCGGAAACATTAATGGTGTGGGGGAAAAATAGACCACCAACACACTTGTTATGCTGGTGGTGGTGGTGGTGGTGGTGGTGGTGGTGGTCGGGGAGGCCCGCCGTGGTGCCAAGAAGAAAGACAAGCCCGGAATTACTCCACGGGCCAAATCCTTATCTGCCCACCGTTTTTTGAGTTTCTCTCATGTTTGGTTTGTGGCCACGACAGAAAACAGTCCTTTTCCTCGTGTGGCTCTAATTTCTCCTCTCGCTTTTACATCCTTTGGACCTGGCTTTCAATCAGAATAATAAGAATAATGGGGATAATGATGAGGGGGGAGCCGACAGCTGCACCTTGTCTTGTGGGCAATTTGTCTGCCTGTAGCCGGAGGCAGAGAACTGGGGCAGGAGAAAAGCGGGGGGAGGCAGGGAGGGGGAATCAGCCTGAGTAATGTTGTGCTTTCTGACTGATGCAAGGAATTTGAGTGAGGGGTGATTTGGAAGAAAAGAGAGGGGCGATCAGGTCTCTCTGGTCCCTGGGAAGTAATAAAAATAAAACCAGTGAAATCTCTGAATTTCACAGGACGGCACACATGCCGAAAGTTCTTCCATAGAGCTAATGAGGATGGATGGATCTCAGGGGCTGCAGTGGAGGGGGCGCCTGTGTCGAAAGAGGAAGGAGGCATCCGTGCCGGGTTTGGGTACGGGAGGAGCGTTTTGTTCATTTCCAAGCAGCGTCAGAAGGACAGAAAAGGCATCTGTCGCTGGCAGCCTTGAGCTCCTTCCCAGCAATTCCATGGGGAGGCCAGAGAAGAGTCGGGGATGGTTGGCTGCCGTTGTGTTTTATGGCTGTAGGCAGAACAGGAATGTGGAAATCTGTCAGTCTTGTTGCCGTTTGCGGTCTTCAGACTCTCTTTCCAGGCTGTGATTCTCCATTTCCCTCGTGGCTCCTACTGTGTTTACGTACGTTTTCCAAACATTTGTACATTTCTGGCCATGCACTTTTTTTGCATCCCAATGCAGGCCTGGTTCTGTGCTGCTTCCCCACCCCCCACTTTCCCCAAGCTGAAATCATGTTAAAGACAACCTCCTGGCAGACCCTCGGGGTGGAGGAATCAGACTGACCAGCGAAGCCCAGGGCACCAATCCGAAAGCAGAGCAAACTGCAAGCATGTGCAGGGTTGCTGTGTGAGAATTAGATGTCTTTCCAGACTTAAAGAATCTCTGCCTCTAGTGACGTGCTCTCTATAATGTAGAGTTCGGCTGCGTTTTCTCTGCCTCCTAAATTCAGTCCCAGGGGTTAGAAGCCAAGAAATGAGCAGATGACGATTCTGGGAATTACCGTCTCAAAAGCCCACGTTTTCCACATCCTCTTGCCGTTGGAGTAGAGGGTTAAAGGATTAAGCCAAAGGCTTTGGCGTGAAATTGGCTTTTTGAGGAAGAATTTCGGCTGGAGAAAGACAGGTACAGATCTGTTTGCAAAGGAACAATGGCCCTCGAATGCCAACATGTATCTTTACAAATGTTATCCTTTCCATTAGCTGCATATATGCCAGGCAGAAATTCAACAGATGGGGTCTCTTTGCCTGTCAGTGCTTGGAAGAAAGAGGAGGGGGGGAGTAAAAAATTAAAATTCAAGCCAAACTTGTTGAATTCCTGCCACTTGCACAGCTGTGTAAGGCACGCGCGACATCTGTGGGAGG